TAAACGAAATTCGATAAAATTTACAGCACTTTATTTTACGTGAAGATTTTTTATTAAATTCAGCCGCTATATTTTAAACTAAGAACCTGGATGCAGAACCTAAAACAGGAACAGTTGATTTGAGAGTCGGACATTTTAGTTCCACCCAATTAATCTGTTTACAAGAGAATATGTCTAACACGAGGTCTAAAATAAGAAATTTCTTTAGAGTAAATGGCAAAATAATCGGTTTGAATGCTTGTGACAACTGTCTTTATCAACAATTCGTCGTACTAAATTATTTGCACTATCATAATTTAATGACAAAATTTTACCTAAGAATTCTCAATTAAATATTCGCGAGCCTTAATGGCATCTGTTAACTCATGTAATTATGTACTAAAAATATATGGCAATTTAAGGATTAATATTAAATCTCTTCTATAAATCGTATATCATAGTTAATAATTTTTTGTCAATAGCGTGCCTTTTTTGATTTTATGTGACATGCTTAATATTCATTATTCATTTATTGTTCATTTAACTACTTGGAATACTTCATAATCGTCTATTTGAAAGATTGATGGTATTTCTACAATATTCGGGTAAGAAGATGGTCCAGCCATCCAAATTCCTGTGCTTAAAAGCACCAAGTCATGATGGTCGCCATTATATCTACCAAAAATTGGACCGTAATTACTATCACAGCATATAACATAACTCATTTCACAAACACGACTTAATTTAGCAGATGTAGGTTTTTTATAGTTATCGAATGTGAATATAAAGCTTTCTGTTGTGATTTTCCATTCAGCACCCATAACTTCCATTTTCCAATCTAATGGATCATATCCACCAACTATTCGATCAGATCCTTTAACTATTGTAGCTCCCATACCGTCACATTTTTGATGAAATGTTTTATGAGATGAACAATCTCTGGAACCGCGAAAAATAAGTTTAAAAATATAAGAAGTCATATCAACGTTTTCTTTTCTGGAAATCCATTTTGCAAAAATTTTCAGATAACCATTATTAATAAAAACAGAATCAACAGTTCCTAAAGCCCTTTTTTTAAAAACATTAAATTCGGGTTTAGTATATGGATCCAGATAACAACGTTCAATGTCTTCTCTTAGACTTTTTGGTAAAATCTTTTTAAAAGGCTTAACATTATGATAATAATCATTTGAACATATGTGATGAAATCTTATGAATGGTATTAAGTTATGTAGTATCTTTTCAAGGTGAGTAAAGTCTTCAGAAGACCAATTACTAATTTTATCGTTGAGTTTAGGATCCTGTGCGATTCCCCATTTGATTATGTTATTCCAAATTTCAATCTCTTTCATATTAAGTTGATCCAGTTTTATCAACATTAATAAATGCTGCTCTTCCAAGGTGATGAAATTTTTTGAACCAAATAGATCACCAGGAGATGCACAAATTTGGTTTATACAAAAGTCTTTCAATTCAAATAAAGCTTTATGTTTGTAAATGGGTTGGAGAATTTTAACAGGATCTTGATGTAAAAATATAGATTTGTTTTTAATCATATATTTTGAGATATATTCAACTACTTTAAGAAGATTTAGTTCGTCAGCCGCATCCAAAAATTCCAAAATTTCAGAACCTTCATATGATTCTAGATTAATTTCAGCTGTGTATATGTATCTTTGAAATTTTATAAAAAGTAAGAATCGGGAATCAAAGATAAACAAATAAATAAAAAAAGTAGTTATTATTTTACCTGAGAATAAATTCAAATGCATTCATTGAGATGTTAGGTTTTTCAAAAATAAATAAATCATCTATTTTTTTAGTCCACTTTTCGGAAAACGCAGTTTGGAAATATGGAGAACGAATTCGTAAGATGATAGAATGCGCGTAAAGGACTTCATTATTTTTACCTGCATAAATAATAACATCATAACCTTCCCTGGTTTCAAAAAGTTTTTTAAAGTCATTATAAAATGATAATTTAAAATCGTGTTCTGACTCCATTTTGTTTAATAAATATAACGAAGATTTATCAATTGTTACAACAGAAGTACGGATAAAAGTCAGTTAAATGTGGAATTTATCATATATAGCATATATATAAATGAGTTTATAAATGGTGTTCATTTCCGGGAACTCCGGTCGCGTCTGAGTGTTACTGAGATACAACCATTTTATTACTTAGTTGGTAATATTTTGAATACAAGAAAAACTTTTTTTATAAGGAATTCTTCGGTTTAGCTTCTGGAATTCAGGTACGTACGTACTTTAATTGTTAAAAATATGCACATTTGGCATTGAGCCTGTCTTCATTATATCGAGATTTTAATTAATCTTCACTATATCGAGAGTTCACTATAACGAGAATGACTTGTACGCAAGTATCCATATATATAGAGATCGTCTAAAGCCAGGTAGTACAGTCAAACCTCTCTACAGTCACGCCCTCGGTTCCAAGAAATTCTGTATAGAGGTTAAATTTCTTATGCTTTATATAAGTTTGTTTTAAAAATTAGTGTGCTTATAAAGAGGGTGTGACTATATAGAGAGTGACTGTATAGAGAGCAGACTGTAATTTATATGTTTCACATGATTTTTAATTTATTTTTATTTTTATTTTATTTTTTTTAACTCTTTGACAGTCTCATCACTA